GACACCAAGCGCTCCACCGTCGCATGCAGCGACGCATTCGCCTGCTCCACGGCTAGGACGTTACTCCGACAGAGCGCGGTAGTCTTCAAGGTGAGGCAGCCGGCGCACGACGTGCTTCAAATTCTCAAGAGCGTCTGCATAGCGATATGCTACTTCAGCATGACGCTCAGCGGAGCTCTGATCACGAAGGACATCGACCTCAAGGGCTCGAAGAGCATCACGAGTCACCGGACGGCGGCCGACCCGTTCGTCACCGCCCGCCACCGACTCTTCTCCATGAGAACGGTGACGTCCATCATCACGTGGAACATCTTGTTGGACGACGTCGTCACCACCAATATCTGGTGAAGTGGCGGGGATATCCCGACTCCTAAAACTCGTGAAAGTTTGAGACGCCACTTCGGCAAGATTACCCAGACGCCGTGGACGCTTTTGATTAGAAAGATCAGGACGCCCCGCGTCATCAGACGCCCGGCGCTTTCCGGTAATAACCAGAGAAGAAGAAGGGCCATGAGCTGAGCTCAAGCAGTGGCCCTGAGCTCTTGCGGTCGCAGACACAGAGCTCGCGGGAGCGTTAGGGGTTGACCTATACGTCGCAGAGCGATAATCTGAAGGAAGTCGACGCCGTGCCTTGAGTTTGGCAAATTCAAATCGGAGGTGTCGCTCTACACGTACGGCCACTTCCTTGTGGCTCAACTGTAAGTTATAAAGTGAGGAAGTTTTCCGTTTCCTTTGCACCCATAGCTGAAAGAGCGCCTCGTCATCTGTAGCGCTTTCGCCAGGGGCGAGCACTACTGGTATTGTCTGCATTGCGGGTACACGAGAGCCACCTCGTTGCGGAAATTCTTGTGGAAATGGAGAAACGAGCTCAAAGAGCTTACCATTCGGGAAGCTCATCTTCCGTAATGGCCGAAGGCCCGATGATGTGGAGGCGTAACGATCGAGTTACCACGTCCTTCGCTTCCACAGCGGGATCCGCCAGACGGAAGTCACATTCCACACGAGGGTCAATGACCGGCCGTGGATGGGCGCGAATCAGAGCCGCCTTACGGGCAGCTTCCAGCTGCCGGTTCTGTGCCTCATCACGATTATTGGTGATGACACCAAGTCCCTCAGGTGATGAGAGGTCAGGAAACGGACATGGGATCCGTAAGGCGCGAGCAGGCTCGTCTCACGCCGCTGGCGCGGCCCGCCTTCCTCGTCATCCCACCCGGGAAAATGAGTGTCAGACTTGTAGTCGACCACCTCCACATCTTCAACGAGGTCACTCATCACTGATAGCGAGCGCAAAGCGCGACGCTCGGGCTCATCGAGTCCAGCATTACATCCATCGATACCGCGGACGCACTGTCCGACATTACACTGCGTGCGGGAAACGAAGTTGGGCTCTGCCCGTGTGCGCTGTCAGAACCAGAGACACTTGGTGTATCAGTGGCATTGACACAGGGCTCATTGAGCACGGAAGTCGTTTTGTTCCCACGAACCAAGTCGCAGTGTCTAGCGGAGACGCAAGCCTCGTTGAGGCAATATTCGATTGGAACTATAAATATTCTCAATCTTAATGGGGGAGAGTGTAACGGGTTTCACGTACCCTAGTAACAGGGTACGTGAAACACGAGATGGACATGGTGTGATTGCACCCAAATAAGAATACGGTACGTGGTTGGGTAGCCAGTAGTTATGCACGTATTTAGATTTTACCATATTTATTTAGGAAAATCTATACATTTAAAATTAGGCGGCGTTGCCGCAATAAAACAAATAAATACCGTTTACATTTAGACAGAAGAGTTTATTAGCCTTGGGTTAAGGTTTTAACTACTCTTGGAGGTAGCAGATTGCGATTGCTTACACTCGTATTGGTACTTGTGAAGAATGTAAGGTCGGTGACGTAAAGTACGCTTTCTCTAATCGCAAAGCTACGGCAGCCCCGCTGTACCATAGCTCAGTTGAATGTTCGTCTATATATTATAGTTTATATAAGCTTTTGACTTTTCAATTGCACCTAGCTAATTATAAACACTATACAGTATCAACTCTAATATACATGAAGCAAATAAGTCATGGATACAGTACCTAATAAATTTTGTGATCAGAGATCAATAGATCAAAAAAATGTCGGTCGACGTGACTCCTGGTCGAGAATTTGCACTCAAGCTCTATCATACAGACCCCTTTTACCATAAGAATTACGAGTTGCTTTCCACGGATGGACGTTCAACGGTATTAATTTCTTAGGTGGTACAAATCAACGATTCTACCCTTACTGCACAGGTTGCACCCTATCCAGCGCCTCTTACATGTATCTTTGGGCATATCAACTGAACCCAAATGGAAGAGTTATGGAGACGTGAGCGAGCCCTGGATCGCATCGTGCTACCAGTTCTTTCTGACATCAAGCTCTGATGCCTATTAATGAGGTCCCCCCTGGGATCGATGTCGTCATTAAGTGTCTTGGGCGTCTTGACTTTCCCGTCCCGAGGCAGTCTGTACGGTGTCTTGCACTTTTTAACCGGTGGGCTTGAGTCCTCTTTAAACACAGCATGGTAAACTCTACGAACGCGCTAAAACCAATTTTCCGTGTCGATCAGTCCAATACACGAATGTTGAGCGTAGACCTGGTGATTGCGCATCTTGTCCAGCACATTCAGAACCATAAAGTGACTAAGATTCTTCGAGAGGTCGCAGCTCACCAGGCACATCCAGGCTCCAATTCCAGGTCGAAGATGCCGTCTACACCGTCACACCGTCTGATAGACAAATTCTGCTTTCGGGCGAAGTAGCTTCGGTCAAGGTGCAGGTTGGGTGCTTCTCCGTTTTTCTCGATCCAGCTTAGCAGCGCCCAACTTGTTCATACGGAACCCTACATCTAAGTTGATATTTTTCGGTCCGAGGAAAATTTCCCAGTCTTCCCAGGACACAAACTTCCCCTATAGCTTGGTTGGAAGTTGCTATGTATTATCTTATCACACGGTTTTGCCTCCTTGGTCCGAAATAAGACTTTTCATTGCTTCTTTCCGCTGAGCCTTCCTTCTTCAATCATTTTTGTACTTCTTGTACGGGTCTCCAGCCCGATGTTCTTTTCGGCTGTTTTTCTTGCATGTTTTGTTCGATTACGATTTTGCCCGCTGAGGGGCTCGAACCCGCTCCACACACCTTGAGGTACGAAAGCATTGACCACTTGACCCACGCCACAGGCTCCCCACCTTTACTAAGCGGAAAGTCGGCAGTTCAGTCCTGCACGTAATCATGTATTAATGAATGAGTTGTACTTGGTGGAAATCATTGTACGTGCGCTTGAAAGGAAGCTGTGCACATTATATTGTCAATCCGACCATTCGCCCCGGACAAATTCTTGGCACGTTATTTCGTTATGCAAACGCCTGTCAACTGTCCGCGATATAATTTAGGCGAGCGTATGAGATGTGGTGTTTGTATTATCTTATTACTGGTGCTGTAATCTGTGACGAGGTTTCCAGTATAAGAATACCGGTATCACGTGTTTGTTATTTCTGTTAAAATTCTAACGAGAAACTATGCGCTGCTATCATCCCGGCACAGACGCCGAATCCTCGGAAGGATGTTCTCCAAGTTAGGATTTACAAAGTACAGTGCACTCGACTTGGTCGTTGGGTATCACCAATTGCTCATGAGAGTGAATGATATTCCACTGACAGCGGTGAGTACTCTACGCGGCATGCTCTGGGGAATCGGTAGTTTGCTTTTTGTGTATAAGTGCGATGTGTCATAATTGTTATGTTATATTTAATATTTATGATTTCCAATGCTAGCTAGACCGTAAGTTTACACAGTCGAAAAGGGGCTCCAATCGTTTGGGCGTGGGCTCAATATCCACCATGGCTTGCAAAAGTTCGATAAAATTGTAAGGTACTGCTCTAAAGCGGTCTCCAATTTGCATTAACTTTCCACTAGCGACCGCATTGAATGTTATCGCGTTCCTGCTGATGTATGAACCGTACGTCACATCGCATTCTCTAAATCGAAATAGGTACACGTCCAACTTCATTATGATTAACAACTTGTCCTAAGGCAACCATATTGGGACCCCATCATTTTTGTGCATTCGGGTTTACCAAATTTTACTGCTAGAGCTAATTGCCTGATACGTC